CGTGAATTAATGTAATCAAAAAATGACATAGCATCCTGTTCATTGTGGAAGACACAGAAGGTGTCGTCAACATAACGCCTATAATGTAGAAGATCCAGCAAGTATTTCACATCCCTGGTTGAGCTCAGCCAAGGAGTGGGTGGCTTCGTGCGAAAAATAGCCTTCATAAAACGAGACACCACTGGAAGGTCTCCAAGTCTAGTCTGGCCAACTGTCAGATGCCCTTGTGAAATTGCAGACTTATACACTGCCAGCGTCCTATATTCTAAAGACTGACTAGTTGAGAGTTCTATCAAGAAAGTCAAGACATCTGTAACTGGAGCTGAGAAGGGACACAAGTCTCTGGAAGAACACCATTGGACCATGCTCGCCACGGACCCCGGTAACGCTCTTTGGTAGACTGGGACCACGATGCCAGAAAGATATTAGTCGCCTCTTCAGGGAAACCCACTGCGTGATAGGCTGTCCTGAAATCAGTCAGACAGTCAGGTTGAGTGGCTGCCACAGGGGATGAAATGCCTCCGGATCGAAAGGTGACTTCTCCTCGGGAAGTGTGTATGGTACATCTGTCAGCATCAGCTGGATCTGAGCGTACCGGTCATGGCTGCCCCGGCCAGTTCGGGGGCAACCATTAGGGCCTTTGCTTTGTCGCTTCTCACTTTCTGAAGAATTCGGGACAGGAGTACCACTGGGGGGTGGAGGAAACACTTCCATTGACTCCAGTCTAATTGGAAAGCATCCACTGCTGAAGCTCCGGGATCCGGAAGCCGGGACACATACAGAGGCACCTTGTGGTTTAAGCGCGATGCAAAGAGATCTATCTTCGGAACATAAGAGTGTTGAGTTATGTCTCTGAAGACTTTCTTTCAAAGAATCCACTCCGTGTGGGCATTGAATTTCCTGGAGGCTTTATCCACTTCCACATTCAACACTTCTGGTAAGTGACGGGCTGTTACCTAGGAACCTCTTGTCAGCAGGAAGGACCACAGCTCCAAGGCCAGTAGAGACAAGATCGGTGACCGAGTACCCCCCTTCTGTTCACATACGCAACTGCCGTGGTGTTGTCCATCTCCAGAAGAATGTGATGAGGGCAAAGTTGGCCCAGACCCTGGGGTAGTAACTGAGCTCCTTCTCCCAGGAATGACTTCAAGGCAAGAATCGCTGCCTTGAGTTCCAGGCAATTTATGTGCTGATTCGCCTCTTCCGCACTTCAGCGGTCCCCGGTTGTTCTGCCCTGGAAGGTTACACCCCACCCCTGCAGGGATGCATCGGTCCTGATGGTGAGGTCGAAGGGAGGAGAGATGATGTCCAGGCTGTTGCAAGAGGGTGGCGCTGGAGACGTCCACCACGTTAGATCCTCCAGGGAAGGATGAGGCAAAGGTATCTGACACATCAGTCTCCACCCTAGACGGGGGAGAAATAGAGCCTGCTGCCGTTGTATGGCTCTGTAATGAAGCGGTGCCACCCATAGACCTTACCGGGCTGCGTGGGTCACGCGGCCTAACAAGCTTGACAGCTTCCCAAGCGATGTTGCTTGGGACTCTAGCATTTCCTGGCATGCTCCCTGAATCCGATAGATCAGTTCCTCGGGCAGTACAATGGACATTTGAGTCGTGTCTAATACGACACCCAGGAAAACTAGGCGATGCGTGGGGGCTGAAGAGCATTTCTCGAGTCTCACTATGAAACCCAGGCTGGACAAGAGCCTCTGTACGTAATGGAAGATCTCTACTAGAGTATCCTTCTGATGGTGAATCAGGAGAAGATCGTCCAAATAAATTACTGAACGTATGCCCTATTAGCAAAGTTTCGCTATAATGGGACGGAGGAGTCTTGCGAAGACTTTGGAAGCCAGTGAGAGGCCGAATGGGAGGCAAAAGAATTCGAAAGTTGTTCCCTCGAACTGGAAGCGTAGGTATTTCCTCGATTCCTTGTGGATTGGGACTGCGAAGTAGGCATCCTTGAGGTCGAGTTTCATCAGGTAA